GCACACGGGGCGCGACGGAGGGGCAGGGGGCACGGGGCACGACGGACGGGCAGGGCGCAGCGGTGGTGCGGCGGACGGGCAGGGCGCAGCGGGGGCGTGACGAATGGGCAAGGCGCACGGGGCGCCACGGACGCGCAGGGCGCAGCGGGGGCGCGACGAACAGGGGACGCGACGGCAGCAAGATGCGACGGACAGGGGACGCGACGGGCAGGGGACGGGGCTGGTAACGTGACACGACGGGCAGGGGACGCGACGGGCAGGGGACGGGGCTGGCAACGGGACATGACGGGCAGGGGACGCGACGGGCAGGGGACGGAACTGGCAACGCAACGCGACAGGCAGGGAACGCGACGGGCAGGGGACGCGACGGGCAGGGGACGCAACGGGCAGGGGACGGGATGGGCCGGGGACGGGACGGGCAGGGGACACGATGGGCAGATGACGTGACGGGCAGGGGACGCGTTGGAGGGGGGAGGGGACGGGCAGGGGACGGGACGGGCAGAGGACGGGACGAGCAGGGGACAGGACGGGCAGAGGACGGGACGGGTAGGGGACGCGACGCGACGGGGAGTGCAAGCGCTACGGGCGCTTCGTAATGGAACGGGCACGTGCTAAGGGCGCTACGGGACGAAACAGGTGCAGTGGGAACAGGTAACTACGTGCACTGGGCGCGAAAGGATCTAGCGGGATCCCACAGGATCCTAACCTAGGTGATACCATGTCAAGAATGAAAGTGTTGGTTTGACTAAGGCTGGTTGGGGTACATAAACCCAACTCTAACAGCTGTACCCCCTATAACACACATCAATAAGACTACAACATTTGACACGAACCGTGAGGTTGGATCGCGTCGTGAACAGTGGCGGGAACAGTGTTGAGGCGACTGTCGCGAGTGGTAACGGATTACTGTTGGATGCTGTTGGCGGGAACAGTGGTGTACGCGCTGAGCAGGGATACGAAGTATGGAAAAGGAATTTTCCTTACACTACCCCCCCCCCCTAAGGAGGTCCTCCCTACGAAAGCACGTGTACATCTCGGAAGTTTCAGCTGCGCAGGTACACGGTGAGGACGGGGTGATTCTCAACTCCAACCAGGGGAACCCAGTTGTCTTCAGTGGGCGTGCGGTCTTTCCAACGGATCAAAAATTCGATCCTTCGGGCTCCCGGTGGGTCCCGGACTCGGTGGCTCAAGGTTTTTTCGGGCGTGACGATTGGTTTTGTTGGTGGTCGTGTCATGCTGGTTGGGTGGTTGCGGGGCAGTTGGCGTGGATGGCACGTAAGGGCGAAGCAGGCTGACGTGGAATGACGGGCTGACATACCAGTCAGCAGGGAGGAGGAGGTGGGTGGTGACGGGTGTGATCATGTGGCTGATGCGAAATGGCCCACAATATCGGGGGCGGAGTCTTGGGGTGATTGGCAGGGGGAGGTTTTGAGTGTCGAGTAGTACGAGGTCGTCGGGCTGATAAGTGACAGGTCGGCGGTGGTGGTCGGAGTTGCGCTTAGCGTTGATGTTTGACTTTTTATTGCGTCTGCTGCTCGGGTCCGTGCTGCTTGTAAAATTTCGGCAAACTGTTGCGCGCGTGGCACCGGTTGACGGGATTTGGGGTCATGGGTACTGTGGGGTCTTGTCCGTAGTTCAGATTAAATGGTAAGTGTTGGGTCCTGGCGGATGGCGAGTTGTTGTATGCGAATACGATGAGTGGCAGCTGCTGTTCCCAGGTGGTCGGGTCGTCGCACGTGGCTCGGATGAGTTGCTCCATGGACTGGTTTGTCCGTTCCGTCCGTCCGTCGGTTTCGGGGTGGTACAAAGAACTAAATTGTAGTCGCGTACCGAATTGATGCCACAAGTTCCGCCAGAAGTTGCTGGTGAATTTCGTGTCGCGGTCGCTGATGATCGCTGCTGGTATTCCGTGCTGTCAAACGGCTGTGGAGATGAAGAGGCGGGTTGTTTATTTGGCTGTGAATGACTTCTTGCAGGCTGCGAAGTGTGCCATTTTCTTCAGCTCGTTCCCAGCTTGCTCCGGCCGGTAACCCCTTGACAAAGTCCATTGTTACCTACTGCCAAGCACGCTCTGGGGGTGGTATCAGCTGCAACTGTCCTGCCGGCCGCTTTCGTGATGACTTCATGACTTGGCAGGTGGGACACGATGCCACGTGTCCCTGTACGTCGGTCAGCATTTCGGGCCAGTAATAATACCGCTGCAGCTGCTGCTGTGTTTTTTCTACTCCGAAATGGCCTGGGGTAACTCCGTCGTGTGCCTCTTGTAGCAGTAATTCTCGTAGTAGTGTGTGTACCCCGGTACCCAGATGCGGTCGGTGCTGGTATTTACGTAATAAACTCCCTTTGCTGCTGCGAACTGCTGCAAATTTCCTCCCGTGACGAACGGGTCTGTCTGGTATCCGTGGGTAAATAGTCCTGTCAGTAGTGGGCTGGTCTAGGCAAGTAGTATTGCGTGCATTTGGGCAGTAGGGCGGGTCAGTGCGTCAGCGATATTGGATGCCCCCTTTTTGTAGATGACAGTGTAGTGAAAATTGGACTCGAGGAAATCGAGCCAGCGAATCTGTCGTGGGTTGAAGTGGGGTTGTGCGCGGAGGTACTGTAGCAATTTATGGTCTGTCCGTACTGTCACGTCTGTGCCAATCAAGTAACAGCGCCACAATTAGAATGTGTGCACGATCGCGAGCATTTTGCGGTCGTGTATCGGGTAATTGTTCTCGAGCGGATGCAGTTTGCGGGACTCGTATGCGATGGGTTGTAACCCGTTGCCGAAATCGTGTAGCTGTACGGCTCCGATGGGGGTGTCGCTTGCGTCTATAACTACTTCAAATGGGCGGTGTGGGTCGGCGATGCGTAGTACGGGCGATGAACAGAGAACATTTTTCAGGGCAGGGAAGGCAGCATGCTCTTTCTCCCCCCACGTAAAAGCGACCCCCTTGCGCAGTAAGTCTGTTAGCGCCGCTGTTAATCGTGCCATCTTGGGGACAAACCGACGCACGTTATTGACGAACCCCAAAAAACTCTGCAATTCCGTGATTTTCGTCGGGGGGTGCCATGCTTTTACGATGTCCAGCTTCTTCGGGTCAATTTCAACCCCAGCCTCCCAACTAACGTGCCCTAGAAACTCTAGCCTGTGCCGAAAAAACTCGCACTTGGAACCCTTGGTAAGTAGCCGGTGCTTGTCTAAATTTTTAAATACTGCTTCCAGATTTGTTAAGTGCTTCTGCTTATGGCGGCTGTAGACGAGGATGTCGTTGAGATAAACTATCACGCATTTTTTTAAGAATGGCCTAAACGCCTCGTTCATGGTCATCTGAAATGTCGCCGGTGCATTGGTCAGCCCGAATGGCATCAAGATGTACTCGAATGACCCGTACCTAGTCCTAAAAGCCGTCTTGGCGTAGTCCGATGGTTCGACTCGAATCTGACAGTAACCTCCCTGTAAAACGATTTCTGAAAAGACCCGTGCTGTACGCAGTTGATCTATCACTTCGTCGGCACGGTGAATGGGGTATCGCGACTTGACTGTTACCCTGTTCAGTGCTCTGTAATCGATGCACATGCAAAATCCTCTGTCTTTTTTCGGCGTGAACAGTATTGGTGCGGCGAACGGTGACGAACTCGGTCGGATAAATTTCTTCTCTAACAAGTAATCTAACTGCTTCCTTAGTTCATCAAGCTCGGGCTGTGTCAGTCTGAACTGTCGCTGTACGGTTGGCTGTGCCCCGGGTTCTAACTCAATTAGGTTGTCGTCTACTCGCTGATGTGGCAGTCCCTCCGGTAAGTCGTCGGGAAAAATCCCCGGGTACCGTTTCAACAGTACCTGTAGTTCAGACGGTACCGCTGCCAGGAGTTTCATGAAATCACTCGGTTGCTCTGTTTCCCCTACCACTGCGATGTCTACTGCATGCACGTCAACTCCAGCGACGACACCCCGTTTCATCGTGACGGCGTTGACGTGGACCGTTGTCACGAAACATATTGGTAAGTTGCAGCATATTTCGTTCAGAGCTATGTGTGGTGTAGGTGGTGCACAAGTCCTTATGCAGGGTAGTTGAGGTAGTTGAGGACCTGGGGGATCACGCGAAGCTGGTGACGCAGAAGATTGCAAAGCGCATGTTGGGAAAATTTGAGGCCTAGGGAGACAGGAAATCGGCGAGGGCCAAACAGAGCCCAGGCGACTCCAGTGCAAGCCTAGCCCCCTGAATAACTTGCGACAGGGGAAGCAAGTACTAGTAGTCTAGCCTAGCAGAGCCAGACCTGTTCTCTCGTTTGGCTACCTGTTATAGTGGATGCAAATTAGCGTTCTAAGCTACTGCTGCTAGGTGACAAGGCCACTCGGGGTAGCCATCGTGTGGGAGTCAGGACTTCTCACAAACGAGAGAGCAGGCCGGGGACATGGATCGCCATGAGCTGTGCATGCAGCGAACGTATTTGCGGTGCGAATGTTCTCTGGCGCGGGAAGGCGCTCAAGGGAGCGAAGGAGGTTGCCGACACGCTCGCCAAGGAGGGCGGCGTATCGCGCAGATCTGGTGACACCAGTGGGCATGCGCGCTGGAGGACGCGGAGCGGACCTGCACGTCAGATCGGAGCCTGGGAGGTGGCCCGCGACCAGCGATCCGTGGGATCTGGCAGAAGGCCGGCGCGGAATGGACGGGAGGCGAGCGATGACGATGAGGAGGAAGAAATTGAAGAAGCCCCAGTCGCGCGGGGCAGCGGTGATCAAGAAGAGACTGAAGGCAAAGGATCCCCCACTGCGCGGGGTGGTGGAAGGCGCTACGGAGACGAAGGCGAAGAATCTCCCACTGCGCGAGGAGGCGGAACACGCGACGGCGACGAAGGCGAGTCCCCTACTGCGCGGGGAGGCGGAACGCGCGACGGCGACGAAGGCAAAGAATCCCCCACTGCGCCAGGAGGCGGGAGGCGCGACGGTGCCAAAAGCGAAGGACCCCCCACTGCGCGGGGATGCAGAACATGCGACGGCAACGAAGGCAAATAATCCCTTACTGCGCGGGGAGGTGGAAGGCGCAGCGGCGCCGAAGGCAAATCCCCCAGTGCGCGGGGAGGCGGAACGCGCGACGGCGCTGAAGGTGAAGGACCCCCCACTGCGCGGGGCGGCGGAAGGTGCAACGACGCCGAAGATGAAGTGTTCCCAACGACGCGGGGAGACGGAAGACGTGAGGACACCACCAAGGAAGGGCCTGGAGCTGCACAGGGTGGTGGGTGGCACGGAGAGGAAAGGAACGATGGGGATGGGCGATGGCGTCGTGAAGAAACAGGTATCGAGAATGGGGGAGGGAGGAAGGAAGAGCGCGTACCTGCAGGGCGGTATGAATATGAGTTGAAGCGCGACAGGAGTGGGAGAGGTGAACGTCATACCAGAGAGCGTCTAGGAAGAGAGAGGAGCTATCATGCGCCCGCTGGAGCATTCCGCTCGCCCGAGCTGAGGGAGAAGTATGAGCGTAGGCGGCGTGTGGCGAGGGGTGACTGGCAAGGTTTGGGGCTGCCGAGGGAGGGAGAGCGTAGCGATGGTGAAGAAGGAGAGGGGTGGGACTCAACGCAGAGAGGAAGAGAGCACAAAGAAGGATACCGCAGGGAGGACAGGCAAGGATCACTGCACCCCTCGAGGGCAGAAGAGAGGAAGCGAGAAGACGAGCAGTAGCAGGATAGGGTAGAGCAAGATAGGCGAAGGTCAGGAATACTCGCCTGAGAGAAAGGAAAGGAGAAGGGGGGAAGAAGACAGGCGGAAGGAGGCGTGGGAAGGGGAGCAGAGAGGGATTCCGAGTTTAAGGATCTCAAGGAAGCCATGGCAGACAGGAGAGGGATCTGACGGGGCTAGAGCCACAAGGGAGGGAACAGAGAGGGTGTTGTACGTAGCTAGCATAGGCAGGAGAGGGATGAGGGAGCGCAGAGGAGAAGTTAGCCATGCGGAGCGCGGGGTGACAGGGACCTGGGACATAGGGAGATGGGGCACGCAGGCGCCGCCTCGGTGGAGGTGCCAGTGCGCTTCATGGGAAATGAGGGGACGGGCACTAACCTGAAGAATTATTTGATGCAGATTGGGAATATCAAATATCCGTGTGATCGGGGGGGGATGGACCCCATCGAATTCTTCCTTAGTCTGCCCAACACATTGGGAGGTGAGGTAGAGACTTTGTATTGCATGAAAATGTAAGAGTGGCTGAGAAGGGCGGAGGAAGAGGGAGATGACCCGAGAGCATTGTTTCTGGCGCGGGTATGCGAGCAGTTCCTTGGGCATACAACATAGGGATGAGGGAGCGCAGAGGAGAAGTTAGCCATGCGAAAGCGCGGGGTGATAGGGACCTGGGACATAGGGAGATGGGGCACGCAGGCGCCGCCTCGGTGGAGGTGCCAGTGCGCTTCACGGGAAATGAAGGGACGGGCACTAACCTAAAGAATTATCTGATGCAGATTGGGAATATCAAGTATCCGTGTGATCGGCGGGGGATGGACCCCATCGAATTCTTCCTTAGTCTGCCCAACACATTGGGAGGTGATGTAGAGACTTTGTATTGCATGAAAATGTAAAAGTGGCTGAGAAGGGTGGAGGAAGATGGAGATGACCCGAGAGCATTGTTTCTGGCGCGGCTACGCAAGCAGTTCCTCGGGCATACAGCGGACCGGATCAAGGAGTTTCCAAGACTTCATGCGCGAGAAGGACGAGTCATTGTTAACATACTATGGGCAACTCATGAACCTGGCCGAAGATGTGGTGTGCACGGACACCAGTATGCTGATCAGCAAGTTCCTGGCAGGGCTAGACGATGGGTTAGCAGGAGGGCTGAGGATGAGGGTCTAAGATTTAGGGGCGGAGGCAACGCTGGAAGAAGTATTTGAGCTGGCAAAAAAGGTGGAGCTGGCGCAGAGGCGCTACGAGGCATACCTGCCCAAAGCAGCGGAGAAGAAACGACCCACCTGGGCAGCCGCGATGATACCTAGGGGCAGGAAGTGGAGAGGAGCAGCGGCAGGAGAGGAGGACAGATACTAGGACGTGCTATAGATGTGGACAGCCAGGGCACGTGAAGATGAACTGCAAGAACTGTGACACATGTGGCAAACCAGGCCACCGCCGGCGGGAGTGCCCTGATGCGCCGATCTGTGAAGTGTGCGGAAAAAGGGGGCATCAGCAAAAAGATTGCTATCAGAAGACGGGTGGACCAAGAAGGTCACAAGAGGAGATAGCAAATCAGATCGAGAAGTTGCAAGCGTGTTTGCAGGCGATGGGAGGCAAGAAGGAGAAGGAAGCGGGCTTGTATGCAAGAGAGGAGGAAGAGGAGGAAAGGGAGGAGGAAGAACGGTTGCCAGAACACACCTTTTTAGCAATGCGCTGTCAAGAAGAGATGGGTCTGAGGAGCGATGGCAAGGATGGGAGGAAGGAACACACAGTGAAGGAGAGAGGGAGACTGAAACAGAAAACAGAAGAAAAGAGTGAAGGGGGTGAGGAGCCAGCCAGGCATCCCAAGGACCGACTAGCTAGCCAAGCGACGGTACTGGTGGCAGAAGCAGGGACATTGACTGTGGGAGGGGAGATAGCAAAGACTGCGATCCTAGATACAAGGGCACAAAGCGTGATGCTGGGGAAACGACTAGCACAGAAGTTGGGACTGACCGGTCAAGGGTAGCACATAAAGCGTGGGATGCTGGTTATGACTGCAGAAGGAGGCGAGCCCAAGTGGTTGCCGTGCACAAAGACTCCAGTGGAGGTGGTGCTAATGCCGGGAAGGGACAAGCAAACCAGCATACGACTAAATTGTGGGATCTTTGACTCCGAAGACTTTGATGTACTTCTGGGGACGGACATGATCTGGGGTGTGGGAATGACCATCTGCACGTGGAAGGAAAAGGTGAAGTTTTGGAAGCAGTACTGGAAGCGGGGAAGCAGAACGGGAGAGCTGCTTGTACAATTCATCAGGCAGAAGCCAAGAAGGGCGTATATGGCGGAGCAGGCGGGGAACAGAGAAATTGGGAAAGTAGGACTGGTGGGCAAGTCAGCAGAGACCAGCGCGTGGCAGGAACCAATCAGACTGGTAGAACTGTTCGGGGGCATAGGAGCGGGATTGGCGGCTGTGCTCAGGGCAGTAATAGCCGTGAAAGAGTGGATCTACGTAAAGGAAAATGAAAAGGTAAAGGAGATGGCCGAGCACCATGCAAGGAAGCTGCAGAGAGAGTATCCTGAGTTGCTGGACGAAGAAGTGGTAACCAAGGCAATGCAGGGGACACTGACAGATGTGAAAAACATCACGAGGGAAGTGGTGAGGGGCTGGGGGCACGTGGACTTGCTGGTAGCAGGGTGGGAGTGCCAAGCAGTATCAAGAGTGGGGAAAGGAAAGGGACTGGGAGATCCAAGGGGAGCACTGCTGGTCAACTTGCTTTGCATCATCTACTGGATCAAGGAAAGACAAGAGAAGCTGGTGTACCTGCTGGAGCATTTGGACCTAGAAGGGGACTGCAGAGAACCAGTGAGGAACGTCCGAGTGACAAAGTTTGAAGAAAGAAAGAGGATTGAACTAGCAAGAATGAGGATACAAATAGCAAACCCTAGAAGGGTTGTACTCGCTATAGAGCACCCCACTACAGGCTAGAACAATAAGATAATATTCTGACACCGAGAGCTGGTGACAAGGAAGCTGGGGAAGGGAGTGAGGTGTAACGCAGCCAGGCTAGGGGAACGAGCTCACCGTGTCAGACGCTACTGGCAGAACGTCGTGACGGATGAGCAACTCCAGCAGGAGCTGAACGGATACGGAGGGATTGGAGCAGAACTGTGTAGGATATCCTGGAGCTGGGCAGGACAGCGGCACCAGACAGAAAGGGCAGACATGAGACGCAATGCCCATGCAACAAAGTGGGGGCAGAACGCAAGGCATGGCCGACACTAGTGGGATACGAAGGGGCAGCCTGTTTTCGGGAGGAGGATGGGCTGCCAGGAGAAGGCATGGTGTATGATCACAGGACAAAGAGATGGGAGGAACCTACCGCGCTGGAACGGGAACTAGTGGTGGGGTATGGAGAAGGGATAACTGATGCAACAGAGGTGACAGAACAGGAAAGACAGAAGACGCTGGGGCAGGCCATGGACGGTCAGGTCATGTAGTGGCTTTTGCGGCGAATGTGGAGAGGGTTGGTCATGGGAGAGGAGCAGGAACGGGGAAGTGAGGGAGGAGGGATGAAAAAGGAGGGGGCATGGGTGTGCACGGCAGCCAAGGAAGAGCCAGCATGGGTAGTGGGGAATGCCGTGAGTGAGAATGGGAAGGACGCAATACAGGAGGTGCTGGCCAGGTACAGGCATGCCTTCGCGTTCACCCTACAGGAGCTGGGTAAGTGTTCGGTGAAGGAGATAGAGCTGAAGCTGGTCACAGACGAGCCGGTATTTCAGATGAAGCGGATAATTACACCTGCAGACGAGGACATATGCAGGGAAAAATGTAAGGAGCTGTTAGAAGCGGGACTGGTACAGCGATCGGAGTACGAATACGCAACACCAACAGTTGTAGCCACACTGAAGGATCTGCTGGGGGAAGTGCTTAGCAGACGGATGTGTGGGGACTACCGAGCACTGAACAAGGTGACTGTGCCCAACAGGTACCCCATGCCAAGGGCTGAAGATATCTTTGACCGACTAGGGGCAGGAGAGATTTTCATCACGCTAGATTTAAGGCAAGGGCTTAACCAGATTCGGATAAGGAAGGAGGACGTGCGGAAGACAGCATTTCATGGGGCAGACGGGGTGTATGAATGGCTGTTCATGCCATTCATGCTGCGGAACGCGTCAGCCATCTTTCGGAGAGTGATGAATAGCGTCCTGAGGGGACTAGACTGTGCGGCGTGTTACATAGACGACGTAGTAATCTTCAGCAAGAGCGAAGAAGACCATGTGAGAGATGTGGAGCGGACACTGAAGGCGTTGGCAGATGTAGGGCTGACCTACCACCCAAAGAAATGCAGATGGGGAGAGGCAACAGTACAGTACCTGGGATACGAGGTCAGGGGAGGGCAAATAGGGATTCAGCAGGCAAAGATTGAGGTGCTGAACAGGCTGCAGCACGCGAAGATCAAAAGCGGACTAAGGGCAGTGCTGGGATTTCTGAGTTACTACCGCAGGTTTGTCCCGAACTTCAGCAAGCGAGCGACAGCGCTAAATGGACTGCTGAAGGAGGACAGAAAGTGGGAGTGAGGGACAGACCAGGAGGTGGCGTTAAGGGACTTGATGGAGGCATTGCAGACGGCGACAATACTGCAGATGCCAAAGGCTGACAAGCCCTTCTGCCTCTACACTGACTGGAGCAGCCAGGGCATGGGTGCTATACTCTGCCAAGAGGTAGCTGGGGAGGAAAGGGTAGTGGCATATGCGAGCAGGAGCTGCAACCCCGCGGAAGCAAAGTACAGCTCATACCATGGGGAAGGGCTGGCAACCGTGTGGGCAATGAAACACTTTAGAGTATACTTGCAGGGGAGGGAGTTCACGCTCATAACATATCACCAGCTGCTGCAGTAGTTGATGACCCACCAAGGACTGACAGGGAGGAATGCGCGGTGGGCAGTCACACTGCAGGAAAACGACATCAAAATACGGCACAGACCAGGGAAGACACTGCATCACGTTGACGGGCTCTCAAGGAACCCGCCACCACCAGAGCTGGTACATGTACTGATGATGCTGGTTAGGCAAGGGGAGAAAGCGACGGCAGGGAAGCAACAGGGACCACGGGAATACGCTGAGGCGTTGAGGTGGATTGAGGGATAAATAGAGGGGGATGAGCAGGTGCCCGAACGGGCAAGGGCACGGGGAAACTACTATCGGTGGTACCAGGGGCAGCTGCAACTGCAGTCAAAAGACGGCTGGAAATTGGTGCCAGCACCTGG